ACAGGTCAGCCAAGGAGGGATCAAGGAGCTTGCACTCCATGCCAAATCTTAATGTTCCAGAAAGACCAGGCTGTTTCAAATGGTTCTTTTTCTGGGGGTGGGATCTCATGTAGTCCAGGCTTCCCTGAATAGTTGAGGATGATCTTGACTTTCTAATTCTGCCTCTGCTTCCTGAGAGCTGGGGTTGCAGGTTTGCTTCCCCATGTCTAATTTTATGCAGTGCTGGGGATGGAACTTAGAGTTTATGCGTGCTAGGCAAGCATTCTACCAAGTAATCTCAAAGAGTCCAGAGTTCCTTAGTGGAAGCGTAGCAAGGAGGGGTTACAAAATGTCAGCATGTGACACCTTTGATCGAAGCAAAACAAGTTGGTATCGATGGGAGTGGTGGAGTCTGTGGCAACAAGAATACTGCCAGCTCAGTGTCAGCTACACAAGAGAATGTGGGTAGAGGGTGACCTATAATTTGTATTTTTGAGAAAGGATCTCGCTGTATAGCCCTGGCTGGCTTGGAAAGCGCTATGTGGAATGAGCTGACCTAACACAGATCCATCTGCCTCTGCCTCCTGAGCACTAGGATTGAAGACGAGTGCTACCATACTTAGTTCCTATTTTTTAAAAGGAAGCCAAATGTGCGCGCATGCGTGCACACACACACACACACACACACACACACACACACGCATAGACTCTGAAAGTTCTACAAATGGAGACCTGAGTCCATGCCCATCAACCTCATCAGCCCTCGTGTCACTTTTCTCTCCAAAGTCTTGGTCTTCAGGAAAATGCTGACATGCTGGGTCAGGCCAGGGAAGCAAAAGGTGGGAGCCTTGCATATGTGCATGTACAAGCACATGCATGCATGCATAAGCACATATGCATATGCATATATACATATGTCCTCCTTAGGAAGTGGCATGTCTCCTGGAGCCAGCTGGACAGCATCCCTCCTGAGCCAACACGGAAAGCAAATCACCTGGGAATTCCTCTATAGCCTCCCAGGCTGTTATCAGGCCTGGCACAGAGCCAACTTTTGGGGCTGTTGCTGAGATTTCCTGCCACAGGCCCTGTTTGCAGCAAAGAAGACACCCTGCATATCTGTATTCAGCAGCACACTAGCTTCCAAGTGCCGGGATGCAGTGCACCATCTCCTGGACCTTCTGCTACAAATGGCAGTTGGGGCTGGAGCTCCCTTTCCCCACCCTCCTAGCAACCACACTTCTCCTCCTACTCAGGATAATTCAAGATGGAAACTTATGCATTTTTGTATACCGGTGTAGACATTTGCTATGCACTCAGAAGCATTTACGACACACACCCGTATGCAGAGACTGAGGTACAGAGATGACTGAAATCTCAGGGCACCCTCGTTCCCTCTACTTGGTTTTCTCACAAGTTCATCCAAAATCTCCTAGGCACCTGTTTCACAAAGCTCTTACCACAAGCACCCATCCACAGTTTCTACACCGGCATCCCCAACTGAGCAATGATCTACATGACACAGTATCAGATTATAACTCAAAGCACACAATAAACACGAGGGTCCAGGCTGACAGCAGTAAATGTGGAGTTAATGCATTAGAGGAGCCAAAGGGAACTCGCTTTCTTCCATAAGGATTGCAAATATCTACATATGTTGGAGCCAGAGGCACTTGCTGTATAAGCCTGATGACCTGAATTCAATCCCTGGGATTCCAGGAATGGTAGAAGGAGAAAACTGATTCCACAGAGTGTCCTCTGACATATATCATGGCATGCACAAGCCTGCACAAGCCTGAGAGAGAGAGAGAGAGAGAGAGAGAGAGAGAGAGAGAGAGAATCCTAGCACTCAGGTGACTGCTGGAAGATTCACAAAAGTTAGCCTCAGTTACACAGAGAGTGCCCAGACTACCATGGCTACATAGTAAAACCCTTACTTAAAAAACAAAAATAGCAGCTGGGCATGGTGGCACACACCTTTAATCCCAGCACTCAGGAGGCAGAGGCAGGCAGATCTCTGTGAGTTCAAGTCCAGCCTGGTCTACATAGTGAGTTCCAGGACAGCTGGGGCTACAAAGAGACCCTGTCTCAAAAAGACAAAAAAAAAAAAAAAAAAAAAAAAAAAAAAAAAAAAAAAAAAAGCCAGGAGTGGTGGCACACGCCTTTGCACCTTTGATCTCAGCACTTGGGAGGCAGAGGCAGACAGATTCCTATGAGACTGAGGCCAGGCTGGTCTACATAGTGAATTCTAGGCCAGCTGTGGTTACAGGAAGACACTTTCTAAAAAGAATGAAAGAAAGAAAGAAAGAAAGAAAGAAAGAAAGAAAGAAAGAAAGAAAGAAAGAAAGAAAGAAAGAAAGAAAAAGAAAGAGCAGGAGGGAGGGAGGGAAGGAGAGAGAGAGGAGAGAAAAACAGGCAAAAAACTGTCAAGGTCACGAGCAAGAAGGAAAGACCAGGAACCTGGCAAAACAGTTGAGATGCCGTGAGAACCTGGCAGGCTGTGGTTTGGGTTCTGGACCAGAAAGAAGTGGATGGAAAAACTGGTAGAATCCAATAAATTCTAGAGTTCATTTGATCACAAGTGAGAATATTAATGTCCTGGTCTTGGCAGATGCTCTGTAACATCTAAGATGCCAGCAGTCAGGGAGCGGGACGTGGGAGGCAGAGGCAGGGGGGTCTCTGTGAGCTCCAAGTCAGCCTGGTCTGTATAGTGAAACCCTGTCTCAGAAGAAAATAAAAGTCAGGGAAATGGGTAAAGGGTATCAGGGAATGCTGTTACCTTTTCAGCTTTTATTTGTGTGTGTGTGTGTGTGTGTGTGTGTGTGTGTGTGTGTGCAGGCACACACATGTCATGACACAGTGAGGACATGGAGGTCAGAAGACAACTTTCCAGAGTTGATTTCTCGCTTTCCATCTTGTTGAGGCAGGGTCTCTCCTGTTTGCGGCACATAACAGTATATTCCAGGCAACTAGCCTGGAGCTTCCCAGTGATTCTCCTATCTCCACACGCCCCCCATCTTGCTGTAAGAATGCTAGGATTAGCACCACCACATCCAAGTAGTCAAGCTTTCTCAGCAAGCACTTTTACATGCTGAGTAATCTTCTCGGCCCAACTCTGTTATCTTTGCACTTTTCTACAAATCTAAAACTACTAACTGGGCATGGTGGTACATCCTAGCACACAAAAATCAAAAGAGGGGCTGGGGAGATGGCTCAGTGGTTAAGAGCACTGGCTCTTCTCACAGAGAACCCATATGGTGGCTAACAAGTGTCCACAACTCCAGTTCAAGGGATTCAACATCCTTTTCTGACCTCCAAAAGCATTGCATGCTTGGGTGCATTTATGAACATGCAAACAAAACACTCATATACACACAATTTTTTTAAATTAAAAAAACCCTAAACAACAAAATAAGACTACTGTAAAATAAGCTTAAGAAAAGCATTTCCTCTAATGAAGAGGGAACTCCTGTTATTACCGAAAATGTGTAAAATTCACCAACGGGCCCAGTAGCTGCCAAGCACTTGCTCTATGAACGAGTAGGGTTTCAGTGATCTCACTCCTTGTGTATTTTTGAACAGGTCAGCCCCACAATTGTGTAGCCAGCACATTCCTTCATCACTCAAACATTTTGGTAGCAGCGTTCTGGTAGCTTCTTAATATTCCATGTGACATAATTTACCTAAGCTTCTCTCTCTGCCTTAGACATAACTTCCATAACTTTCCTGTGATAAAGCAAACCCTGTGACACGGACAGGGGGTCTGTCTTTGGAACTGTTTTCCAGTGGCAAAGTGGGCATTTGTTGAGGTTTTGATGCATATTGAGAATTCATTTTCCAGAAATGCACACCATCCAGATCCAAAGAGTGGTTTGTCTGGGATGCCCACCTCCTCAGTCATCGCTTTCTTCTTCATCCACCTCACCAGGCAGGCACTGCACACTGTGCAGTATTGTCAACATTGGCATTGTTGCAACTCATTCTGCCATGCCTTTGACAACCTGCTTGGGCCGGTTCACCCATTCTGGAAGCTTCAGCTTTTACCTGAATGTCAAAACACAGCCCCAGCCTCTCCCTTTGTATGACTAACTAATATTCCATTGCATGGATTGACAGGTGATAAGCATCCAGACTACCTCCATTTTGTCACTGTGAGCCTGGCTGCTCTGAACATGTGTGAGCAGCTGTGCTTCTGCTTCTTTTGGGTGTATTCACGGGAGTGGAACTTTGGGATCATAGGGCAATTTTATGTCTCACTTTTCAAGGGAATGCTATTTCATAGAATTTCCCTCAACTCTCATCAATCAAAAGAATTGACCCCCACCCCCTAGCAATGTATGAAACACTCCATCTCCCAAAGCTGGGGGTTCAAATCCAGGACTTCTGAGTCCACAACCTGCTTCTTTGTGCAGCCCACAGTGCTGACAGTCACCTCCATCTCTGAGGTCATTTCACAGATGCCCAGGCCAGGAGCTTGTTCAAGCCTACTCAGCAACAAAGGGACACCCGAGATCAGCATTCAGAGTTCCAGCCTACCCCAGATTCTGTTTTTCAGTCCCCTCTAGGACTGGGAATTGAACCTAGTACCTTAAGCATGCCAGGCAAATGCTCTACCACTAAGGGTTCCCAGTTTATCCTAAATAGTAAAGAGGGGAGGGGAGAGGAGGGGAGGGGAGAGAGGAGAGAAGAGGAAGAAGGGAAGGAAGGAGAGTCGAGGGAGGAAGGGGGAGGAGGAAAGAGGGGTAAAAGAAGGAAGGAGTGAAGGGGAAAGAAAGGAGGGGGAAAGGGAGGCAGGCAGGGAAGCGGTGGAGAAAGAAAGAGGGGACGGGAAAGGGGAGGGGAGGAGAGGAGGAAGGAAGGAAGATGGGGAAAGAGGAACGGAAGCTCCCGTGTTCCTAGGGATGCTCCCAGCCTCCCAAGGCTCCCTCCTCCCATCTTTGGGGGCTTCCATTCTGTCTCCCGGAACCTTCCACTAAGCCATCTACCCTGAAGAATGATCGAAAAGCTCTTTTATTTACTTTGGCTCTATATTTTCACATTTTCACGGCGGAAAGAAAGAGAAAATTATTCTTATTTTCTTTTTCAGCCTTTTCCAACCTTAAGCCATTTTACAAACCCGTGCAGAGCAGGGTCCTAGGCAGGAACAGGAGGATCTGGAGCAGGGGGCGGGGCCTCTCCTAGCAGAGCAGCCGCAAGGGGCGGAGCCTCCTGAGTGGGCGGGGCTGATACAAGGGGCGTGGGTGGCGCAGGGACCAAAGCGGATGCCGGCGCCGCTGTAGCCCACCAGGCGGGGCGTGCTGGGGAAGGTCTTGCGCATGCGTATGCATTTCTCCTGGTCGATGCACAGGGTGTTGGCCTTGATCGCCAGCTCTTGCTCCAGCCGGGACTTGGATATCACCAGCAGCTGCAGCGTGTCCTGCGTCTTACGCAGCCTCAGCCTTAGCGTCTGTAGGGTGTCATCGATGGTGAACACCTCGTTCAGGAGCCTGCGGTGGGGCAGAGAGAAGCCTCAGTTACCTTTCATCACAGCCGCAGCAGGGACGGTGCCCAGGGGCGGGTACTTCAATGAGCACGTCCTCATGTCTGGAAGGGAGGACAGATGGACGAGCACCCGCAGAGGGTTACAGAGGCCGATGGCATGAAGGAGAGAAGTGGGATGGCACACAGAGGACAGAATCTGGCAATAAATTAACCAGCGACTTGGCTCAGGGCTGGGTACTTCCGCTCCTGGTGGTCTGTCCAAAGGGACTGAAGTCAGGGTTTCACCCCAGAGGCTCACAACAGCGCTCTGCACCGGGGCCCAGAGGTGGGAACAACTCGAATGCTCCTTGACGGAGGGATGAACAAAATATGGCATAGTTGCACCGTGAAAAACTATTCAGCTATAATACAAATGAATTTTATTCTGTGAGTTTTGGGGGGGTTGTATGTCTCTTAAGACAGGGTGTGGTGTGGTGTGTAGCTCCTGAACTCAGACTATCCTGCCTCAGCCTCAGGCACACCCAGCCTGTTGCTGTCTTGATTGGTCTTGCCCTTGCTCTTCCCCTGCCCTTCCCTTCCCACTTCCCTCCTTCCCTTCCCCTTCCCCTTTATAGTACAGATAGCCTAAACTCTGTATCAGAGGATGACGTCCAATACCTGCTCCTCCTTCCTTCCTCTCCCCAGTGCTGAGATTATAGGCATGAGCCACCATGCCCCTCTCTATTTTTTATTTATTTATTTATTTATTTTGAGACAGGGTCTCCCTGTAGCCCCAGCTGACCTGGAACTCTAGCTAGACCAGGCTGGCCTTGAATTCACAGAGATCTGCCTGCCTCTGCCTCCCAAGTGCTGGGATTAAAGGCTTGTGCCACCTTGTTTCAAAAAAAAACTAAAAGAATTTTTAAATTTATTTTTCTTTTATGTGTATGAGTGCATTGTCTAAAAGTATGTAAGCGCACCTGTGTTGTGCAATCAGAAGGTGTCTGTCAGATTCCCTGGAACTAGAGTTACACACAGTTGTTAGCCACCATGTGGGTGCTGGGAACTGAACCCAGGTCGTCTGCAAGAGCAGCCAGTGCTCTTAACCACTGAGCCATCTTTCCAGCCCCTATTCTGTGTATTTTAAAGGGGGAAGGGGGAGCATTTGGAAAGTGAAACCAAGGTCTTTGCAGGGAACACACAGGGCCAGCCTCATTTATATAGGAACTCAGGTGCATGATGGCTCTTGCTCGGGCCTCCTTTACCAGCTGGGACACCCATCCGTGCTGTGTTAGCTCCCCTTGATTCATAGGTCCACACCTCAGAGAATTATGGTTCCTAACCAATGGGAGCCACCTCTCCTGGGAAGAGAGCCTCTCCCAGCAGCCCATAGCCAATGGTCCACTGACTCAGAGGTGGTCCCTGTCACACAGTGGAAAGGACCTGGGAGTGGACTCTGAGCCCCAGAGTCTGAGGGCAATCTGAGACCAGTTCCCATATTGTCCCACACCCCCTCTCCTCAGGCTCTGATTCTGCAGAACTTTAGAAGCACTGGAAAAGGGCTTCCTAAGGAGGGGACTTTGCAGCAAAGAAAAAATATGAGAATGACCCTACTTTGGTCCCCAGTACCCCATAAAAAGAAAAGCAAGCAAACAGCAATTGAGCAGGAAAGAAAGAAAAAAGATGGAGGCCAAGACCAGAGTGATGACCTACAAGGAATGGACCCCGGGATTTCTGCAAGTACCAGAAGCCAGAGTGAGGCATGGCACTATCCCCTACACTCACAAGGCCTCCTTTCTGGAGCCTTGTGTAAACTTTCCATTTCCTATTGTCAACAGAAACCAGTCCCCTTAGCTAAGCAGAGTGGATGTGATCTAGCCAGTCAGGAAAGACTTGGGCTTTTCCCAGGGACTTAAAGGAGAAAGGAGGGAGATGAGCTGCATGCAAGCTAGGGCTTCTTCGGTGAAGTCCTAGAACAACTGAGGGTCTGGGGCTGTGCGCTTGCTCCTGCTGCTAACAACTGACATCTCCTTGGCCTGTCACAGGCAGCAGGAGGGTTTCCTGAGCAGAGGTGTTGCTAAGGGTGTGTACTAGGGGTGAGGGAGCTGTGAGTGGGACAGGCAGGGTGGAACCTAGAACTCTGGGCCTACAATCCAGATTGCAAGGTCTAATTCTCAGACCCAGGCCTCCCTGCTGCAGCCAGCCTGGCAGGAACGAAGATATTTTAAAGAGACACTTGTGTCCCTTTCTTTGGCTACCAGACTATTGAAACAGTGGCCCCCAAGAAACTGGAATTTCCCCCCAGGAGTCCCATGCTGAAAGAAGGAAAAAAACTGAAGCCTTGTGCCTGCCAGAGGACTCTGTCTGCCAGGAAGAGATTTCGCACAGTTCTGACTGCCTGTCAGGCCACCTTACAGGAGAGAATGGAGCCCAGGCAATGATGCTGGGTAAGACCTCAGCTTGACCAGGGCTGTTCAGCTACACTTACTTCTTGCCCTCTATTTAAACCAAAACCTTATATCAAGACTATGAAGATAGACTTGGGGTTGGGGATGGAGGGGGTACTGCACCTCTTTAATTGTTCCCCTTCCAGTGTGGCCACATTGAATAATTCTCATCTCTGCTTTTCACTATTGTTGTCTCTTCAATTGGCCTATGACAAATGGGTAGATGAGCTTAGCTTGATAGGACTGCCCTGGCCCAAGCTCTGACCTTGACAACTCCAGCAACACTGAAGCTTCAGAGATCTAACTCTTCTCCTCCTGTACCCCAAGTCATCCCACTCCATCCCCACTCACTTGAACTGCGGGATGTCCCTGCAGAGCTCCAGGTTGGGCCGCCAGGTCCGGCATGCCAGCCTGGTGTGGGCTACCTTCAGTGACACTCCTTGGCCATGATGGCTCTTTCCAGCAACATGATGGTGTTCTCTGCCTGGAAGATCTCCTGCAGTGTCTGTGGGGACCAGGAGGCTGTCACCACCCATCAGGACTCTCTCACCTCCTCTGCATTAGGGGGGGAGCTGAGGTCACCTTAGGGACCTCCAGTCTAGTGTTTAAATCACTCCCCATGCACACTCTGAACACCTTTGGGACAGGGACCTCACAGTGATAGGGCTAACCTTGGGAAACTGCTGCCACATCTCTGCTCATTGAGACACTGAGCACTGAGGCTAGGCTAGTACCAAGGCTAGTTTTGATTTTGCAAACAGTTGGGGTGGGGGGCTAACTAAGCACGAGAGATGACAGTAGCAGGAGAGAAGCCAGCTAAACCACAGCGCCCTTGAGAGCATCAGAATTCCCAACAAATAGCAGCGTGTGTCCTAAGGAGAGTGGCAGAGTGTTAATGCTTGCTCTGCAAGTTGTGTATGTATCAAACCCTCACCCCAGAGTACTAGCTCGTGGAAGATGATTAGGTCATGAGGTGGGGACTCTCATGATCTAGACTAGTGCCCTCAGAAGGAACCGGAGTGCTACCTCAATTTTTATCATGCAAGAAACAAGATCAGGGCTGAAGAGATGGCTCAGTGGTTAAGAGCACTGAGTGCTCTTGTAGAGAACCCGGGTTTGATTCCCAGCACCCACATAGTGGCTATGAACTGTCCTTAACTCCAGTTCCAGGGGATTCCGAAACCCTCTTCTGACCTCTGAGGCATTGCACAACACAGGTGCACTCATATACATGCAGGCAATACACTTATACACATAAAATAAAAATAAATAAATAATTTTTTTTAAAAAAGAAACAAGATCAGCAATTCAGTTACCCAGAAGGCAGCCCCATCCCGACCCCAGCCAGGCTGTTAGAAATGAATTTCCTTGTTTTGAGATCTTGCTATGTATCCCAGGCTGGCCTGGAACTCATGATCTGTCTTAGCCCCCAAAAGCCTGAGATTACAAGCATATGCCACCATGTCTGGGTGAAATTCACTGTTTATAAACTACCCTGTCTATGCTGCTTTGTTATAACAACCCAAACAGTCCAAGACAGACCCCATTTACAGCTTGGGACACACTGACACTCAAAATGATATAATCATGGGCTGATAAGATGGGTCATTGGCTAAAGGAGCTTGCCACCTAGACTGGCAACCTGAGTTTGGTTCCTGAGGGCTTCACATGGTGGAAGGAGAGAACTGATTCCCACAAGTTGTTCTCTGACTTCCCCCAGGGTCTTGCTATGTAGCCTAGGCTGCCCCCAAACTCAAGTTAACCCTCCAGAGAGCTTGAATTACAGTCATGCACCGCATACCTGGCCTGTAAAGTGTCTCTTCTAAAAAGTCATTTTTTTTCCCATTGAAGTAATTCTATTTAAAACAATATGTAGAGTAATTAGAGTTCAGGTGGATTTGCAAAACTGGTAAGGTGGCTGTGGCGTGTCCTTAGGTCCATATATAAGTCAGAGGAAAGAATCCAGGTGGAGCTGTACCAGTGGTGACAAAGGAGACAAGGATGGGAGGGCCAGGGGGCCATGTGGAGCCTCTTTCCTCCTGTCCCCTCCTGTCCCTTCTCAGACCCCACCCTAGGACCCACCGTTGGTGATTTCTTCACATGCCTTCTACTCCTTGACTACACTTCTTGATCAGACCTGTCCATGGGTTTTCCAGAACACTGGGGTTTTCCAGGACCTTTTCTACCAGAGCCCTCTGATGACTCACCCCCTGGGCATATCTGCCCACACCCAGGTGGGTGTGCATGCTGCCAAAAAAAATGTTCTCCACAGCCTCTTATCTAGCTTGTTACTCCAAAGTAGGAATTAAAACCACACACACTCCATGGAGGGGCAGCCCTTGCTGTCTAGCCAAGCGCTGGAAGCCGAGTGTCTCCAGAGCCCCCAGGGGAGAGATCCAGTCTCCATTAAGCCCCAAAAGGCAGGATGTAGCCATCAGTGTGGGCTGGCCAAGGGCAGAGAGAGAGCAGCTGTGCCTTCTGGCTGAGGGAGGAAATCAGTGGGACCTTTACTCAGAACAGGAGAGGACCCTGATGAGGCCTTCCTGGACAACAAGCCAGTACACTGAGACCACAGAGGTCCTGCATGTCTCTGCACATCCACCCTGGGTGCACTGAAGGACATCAGCCCTGAAACCACCAGGGGACAGAGACAGTGGAGATGTTTATGTAGTCTCACTTATAGTTGGTGACTGCCAGCTGCAATAAAGGCCTTCACTGTGTCACATACACACAGCCACTGGTCTTCATTGGTGCCAAGGGAGGAAAATATGAAGCAGGATGTGCTACCATTTGAAAGGGAAATGTCCCCCACAGGTTCCTGTGTTTGAACACTTGGTCTCTATCTGGTGGTGCTGTGAGAGGAGGGCCTGGCTGGTAGAAGCTGGTCCCTGGGGATGGGCCTTAGAAGGTCTAACCTAGTCCTGGTCCAGGTCTTGTTCTCTGTTTCTGCTCTTACTGCCAACTGAGGTGCTGGGACACATGCCCCTGCCACACACCCTCCTGGCACGGTAGGCTAAACCCTCTGAAACTGTGAGCTAGAATAACCCTCTCCTCCCGTAACTTACTTCTGTCTGGTATTTTGTCATAGCAAAAGGTAAGGATGATCTTTTTTGAGATCATTTCCAACCCAAGCATGTAAACAGCATAAATATTGGTAAGGGCACATCTAAATCAAGAGACACACATCAACAATCAAAATAGGTGTCCTGGAGAAAGTACTGCTAGTGATAAAAGTGATCAGGGATTTCACACAAACAGTGTATGCCATGTGCAAATGATAAACTCATGCCTCTTCATCAGGGTGAAAAGAAAAAAAACTCCCTCCACCCTAAGAGATTGTTTCCTTTCAGTTGGATGTAATGGCCCACACCTGTTATTCCAGCATTTGGAAGGTAGAGACTGGAGGACCAGGAGTTCAAGGCTATCCTCAGTGAAGGTGAGGCCAACCTGGGCCCCATGAGACCCTGACTCAAAAATAAATAAAAAGGGCCTTCAAGACGCTTCAGCAGGTGAAGGTGCTTGCTGCCAAGTCTGATTACCTGAGTTGGATCCCAGGACCCCTATGCTGGAAGGAGAGCACTGACTCCAGCAAGTTGCTCTCTGATCTCCACAAGCACAGTGTGGCACACGCCATGCCCCCATAAGATAAATAAACATAAGGCATTAAAAATAAATTTTCCTTTTAAAATAATCTTTTTAGTTTTTTTTTTTAAAGAGAAGAATACAGTTTTTAAAAATATTATCTAATGAGCTAGGACCCCTATGCTGGAAGGAGAGCACTGACTCCAGCAAGTTGCTCTCTGATCTCCACAAGCACAGTGTGGCACACGCCATGCCCCCATAAGATAAATAAACATAAGGCATTAAAAATAAATTTTCCTTTTAAAATAATCTTTTTAGTTTTTTTTTTTAAAGAGAAGAATACAGTTTTTAAAAATATTATCTAATGAGCTGGGCGTGGTGGCTCACACCTTTAATCCCAGCACTTGGGAGGCAGAAGCAGGCGGATCCCTGTGAGTTCAAGGCCAGCCTGGTCTACATAGTGAGTTCCGTGCCAGCTGGGGCTACAGAGAGACCCTGTCTCAAAAAAAACAAAAACCAACCAACAAACAAAAAGTATATATATATAATCTAACGGTAAAAGTCAGTTTTGACTTTTCTTGGCTGAACTTTGTAATGACCTGGAGAGTCTTCAAAACTCCTGCAGCCCAGCTCTGCCCCACAGAGGTTCTGGAACATCTCAAATGTGAGCTGCAGCCTGGGCCTCAGGACTTTGCAGAAGCCCCAGGGTGACTCAGTTCAGCCAGAATCCAGAACCAGGGGCAGGTGATAGAGAGTCTATAAGACTTAAGGGGACTCAGCAGGAAGGGGCTGTGTGTGAGGGGTGGTAGCATGTCCAGGCTGGCTGTCTGTCCAAGCAGGGAGCCCCGAGTGGGGTACAAGGAGTCATGGTTTTTTAGATATGTGCATGGTGACCCACAGGTACCTCAGGCAAGGGAACTGGCACAGGGGAGCTGCCTCCACCCAGGGCTTACAGGTTTCTAGCGGAAACATGTGGACAAGTTATGCAATTCTGAAACCCCAGCCCCCAAGTCCAGACTCTACAGACCCCTCAGGCAGGAGGAAGCTAGGAGCCCAGGAGGCCTCGAGAGGGGAGGCATGGACAGTTGACGCAAGCTCCCGAGCTCAGGAGCCTCTGACTCCAGGTGCCTGTTAAATGCATGTAACGTGGGTGCACACACACACAGTGTCTCAAACACTCTGTCTCTTTTGCAATTACCTACCCACCTGTCCCCAGAGCTGGGATACCCCCATATTCACATCAAATGGAATAGGTTTCAGGGCATGGTGACACACATATATAATCCCAGCATTCCAGAGGATTGCAAGTTCAGAAAACCCAAGCAGGCTTTCACCACAGGGCCTTTGTACAAGTTGTCATCTGTGCCTGAGATTCTTTCCAGAGATGCACAGAGCTCATTTCCCAAACCTACTTCAGGCTGTGGCTATGATGCCTAGAAGGCTTTCTCTGCACCCCATTAAACAAGACCTCCAAAACTTAGCAATTAATGTGAGCTTACAGTTTACAGTCACACTCAGAGCAGGGATCCATGCCCAGCAGTAGGACCCAGGCAAGCACATCTTGTGACATGCTTTAAGCCAGCCATGGCACCGCTCTCTCTGCCCACTCCAGACCTGGTTATACTACAAACACGCAAACCCCCACACAGAGCTGGCATCTTGGCCCCAAGTTCTGAGGGGTTTCCCTGGAATGTTCATCTTTCTGTTCCACAAAGCTGGGGAAAGAGGCTTCAAGGCACAGCTTGTCTCATCTCAGAGGCTGGGCGGGACTGCTGGGGATAGGCTGCAGGGTGGGGGGTCACCCCATGGGCGGAGTCTTGGCACCCTGGGTCAAGCAGCTGCCAGGCCTTCCTTGCCCTGGCTGGGAGCAGGAACTCAGTTGGTTAGGAGGTGGCACGAGGGAGAGGGGCCCTGGTTTCTCTC